TAGTATGCGTTGTCCACATCTCACACCTCTCGACTTTGTTTGGGATTATCTCGAGTATGAAGTTTGTGCTACACCAGTGAATACTCGCGAAGAAATATGACATCGAATTCGAAACATTTCAAGGACGATAGAAGCCTTTTATGCATTGAACAAACGGCAGCGGATTTGGACACTAACAAAATATGTTTTTTTAATAAAATTACTTTTATTTTTGTGATAATCGGTAATTGTTGTTTATATTGCACCCTTACAATTCTTATTATTTTATTGCCCTCAGTTCAGTACCGTTCTTCAAAATTTGGTTAAAATATATTCGAAAATGCGGAAATAAAAAAATAAAGACTTTTTTATTATAACTTTCGTACCTTTTTTTATCAAGGGTTTCCAGATATTTGGTTATATGAAACTTTTTGCTTAAAATTACCAATTAAAACGGAGACGCCCTGTATCAGATAGCCAAGCGTTTGTATAACACAGCCGTTAATTACTGCAAATATACCGTTCAAACCTTCTATCACTAATAGTAAAAAGAGTTCTATTCAAATAAGTAACAATGTATGTATAAAAAAAATGTCAACTTATACTCACACTTTTTTAAATAATAGGGGAAGGTAGTTTTCACGTAATTGTCCCGTACATTATTATAATAAAAAATGAATCACTATTATTTTATCTACCGCACAGGAGGTATTTGAATAACCTGTGTGGAGGTATTTGAGATAAGCAATCGTTAACTGATAACTGAGACAAAAGTTACAAAGACGTTTTATCATTCGTAGGTATGTTTCAATGACCTTTGTTTTTGAAACTCAAAGTGCGACAATATTTATACGTTCTACATTTAATTGGAACAATGTTGTATTATTCATTCATCAAAACATTGTTCGTCTTTGTCAAGGCGAAGTATCCAATTGTTGTTTAATACTCGTAATAACTATTCTCGGTTCATATCATATCAATGTTGTTAAAAAGATTAAAATCCTTATCTGGATGCCCTTATTTTAAAACAAAAGTTTTTTATCCAAAGGCGGATAAACACGAAAAGGAAACTATCTAATTTTTAATTCAAATCATCGTACTGATATAAAGAAAGATGTTGTTTTTAATAATGAGTTAAAATTCATAAAAAAATATACTAATAAATAATCAATATCCTGAGAATTTTGTTGAAACAGTCTAGAAATATGAAAATGACAAATTCTGTTAGACAACAAAGAGAAATTACATCCACAATAAATATTAATTAATTTAAGTTTATTTACAGTGTAAGTTTTTTAAACCTGACGCATGTCAACTTTTTTATTTGAAGTGATAGACTCGTACTTCCAAATGCAAAGTTGTAGGAAATAACTTGGCTAAGAAAAGTTTACAAATAATGTTTTCCGGTGTTGCCAGATTTCTTCAGTAGCTGCTTAAACATTTTTTTTTAAATGGCAGCACCGTATTTTTTATAAAACAAATTAAACACTTTTTTAGCAAATTAAGTGTTAACAAAAATATTAACTGAGGGTTATTTGAGATATAAAATATAAGCAACCCTGAACATGGCTGCAGATTATTTTCGTTGTTTTCGCTGATTGTTCTAAAACGGCTACTACAGTAAAGAAATATGATATCACATTCTTTATTTAGAATTTGAAGAATTATCAAATTATGCTAAAAAAAATACGGTATTGCCATTTAAAAAAATATTGTTTAAATAGCTACTGAAGAAATCTGGCAAAACCGGAGAATAGTATATTTAAATTTTTCTTAGTTATTTCCTACAACATTGCAATTGGAAGTACTAGTCTATCATTTCAAATAAAAAAGTAGGTCTAGGTTACACTGTATACAGGGTATTTCAGAAAGACCTCTCGTAAATAGAGGGGGTGATAGTACGACAAAAAATAAGAATTTTTTGCCTTATGAATTATATGACTATCTCCTCTTGTTTTCGAGATACAGAACGACAAAATAAAATTGTTTAAATCGAATTTTTACGAAAATTTACAAAGGGTGTGAAATATTTTTATGAAATTTGGTATTCCGGCATTTTTAAGGATGCCAAATACGCTGGTCTAATTAGTTTTTGTATATTTCATAAAGTGATACTCCATTCCTATTACATTTTAAGTTCTAATTTTTTTAAGATTAGGTTTTTTACCATTTGGACTCCAATTTCTAATGTACAATTTTATTTTCAAAAGATAATGTACTCTTGTTAGAATTTCCTAATGTGAACGGTTTTCCAGAAAAAAGACTTTTAATTGAGCTCTTACAATATTACGATGTATAAAAAAAATAAGTGACTATTCTCAAAGTAGGCTTATGTCAAAACTTATTGATGGATGTCTCATAAACAACGCATACAATCTTAGTAATATTTTACACTCTAATTAACTTTATATCAAAATTTTAGTGACAGTAACTACAGTCACTAACAATTACTAAAATTTTGATGTAAGGTTAATTAGAGTTTAAAATATTACTAAGAATGTATGCGTTTTTTCTCGAAAACCGGCCACATTAGGATGTTCTAACAAGGGTACATTATTTTTAGAAAATAAAATTATACATTAGAAATTGGAGCCCGAATGGTAAAAAACCTAACCTTAAAAAAATTAGAACTTAAAATGTAATAGGAATGTAGCATAACTAGCGCCCTCTATGAAATATTCAAAAAATAAGTAGACCAGCGTATTTGGCATCCTTAAAAACCCCGGAATATCAAATTTCATAAAAAATACTTCGTACCGTTTGGAAATTTTTGTAAAAATTCTATTTAAAGAATTTTATTTTGTCATTCTGTATCTCGAAAACAAGAGGAGATAGACATATAGTTCTCTTATTTTTTGTCGTACTATCTCCCTCTGTATTTACGGGAGGTCTTTCTGAAACACTCTGTGTAGTTGTTACTTAGTAAAAATATGATAAGTCAAAAACAATATAGATTGACTGATGAAACTGAAGGAGATACAAAAGTTTCGATCTGAAACAGGTATGACCAAAATAAATTCAACGTTTTAAGGTGCTTATAGTGGTACTGACATCTGGTACTGATATCAAAATTATAATCAAAAGTTTTGTATATTTATTACCTATCTTTTACTCAATATGTCATTTTATGATTTATTTTAACAGTTGCACAAAAAAAGTAGTAGTTTCTATCTTAGAGCCTGGTACCTTTTGATGTTCCATTTCTCGTGCTTGTCAGTCACAGATAAAAAACGTTAAAGGCGTTTTAAAAACCCTTTATAACATCTACCGAAAATATAAATAGGATTATGGCAAAAGAGAAATTATGAATTTAAAGAACGTTATGCCTACCACTTCTTTGACTATTTGTATAGGACCTGCCTTTTAATCATTTCTGAAATACCGATCCTTCCAACTGACTATTGTGTTTTATATTTACATTCAAAAAAACTTTTTAAGGATTTTGATTTACCAATGAGTGATGATTGTCACATTTTTTCAAATTCAATTGATGATACCTACGCGTGGAAAATTGGGAGAAAACATATTTAGGGTGTAATTTGTTTCATAATATATTAGAAATTAATGGATTTCAACATTGAATATTATTGAGTATCAAAATACAATTTTTGTAAACTTTTATAAAAAAGAAAACAGCGGTGAAGTAACTTGTACTTATTTATTGCTACCTGCATACAACTTTTAATTTGAGAAAACTTTATATACTTATCTAGAATAGATTTTTTAAAAAGTATGTATTCCTTCTTATCAAATCAATAGAGCATTAAATCTGTGATAAGTGATTTTCTGACAAATATACTAGTAGCAAACGGACTGTGCCATCATGTAAAAGACAGTCCTGTAGATATATGCTTATATGTTTCCTACTCCAATTTACCATTAATTAATTTTTTATAAACATTTATATGTAAAAAATGCATTTGTTTAGTTCTTTGCATATAAAACCTAAACTAACGAAGCAATTTGAATGCTATACAGAGACAATTTGTAGAGAATCGAAATACGAATAAAACGAGAGGTTGATCGATTCGACCGGATAATTAGAAACAAAGAAACCCCGGAAAAATTTTAAAATTTTGCGTTTTTATTTTAAAATTCGTTACTTCGCCTTTTTTTTAAGTTGTAAAGCTGACCCTGTGCACAAAAGTATGTATTATATGTATTTTTAGTGTGCACAAAGCAGGCGCTGTCGGACCATTAGTTTTGGCACAATTGCAATTTGAATTTTTTGGTGCACTATTTTGCAAAGTTTCTGGATGCGTTGGAGGTGATCCGATTTTAATTTTTCAGACGGATTTTAAAAGTAGAAGTTAGAAATATAATACTACAAAACGTATATTCTAATTCTCCGATAAAATGATGCGAAATAGGTGAAAAATTCCTCCAAACGTGCTCAAAAACGGACCAACTCGCGTAATTTTGCTTAAAATATCGATATTCTTCTATCACAAAAATTCTCTATGCTTCATTAGAAAAATTTAAACACTTAAATTTTCGCGAACCGTCACAAAAATATATCTGAAAACTTTGCATTTGGAAGTACTAGTTTATCACTTCAAATAAAAAAGTTGGCCTATGTTACACTATATACACTTTGTAGTTGAATCCAAACAATTTACCTTACCATACGCAAATAATTTACAAAATTTTTATTTTTACCAGTATATTTTTATACCTGACAATGCAATCTTTTTTACTTGATACTTTGAACTGCATAACGTAAGTAAGCATCTGATCGGTGGACCGATCACAAAGATAAACTGTCTAGTTTAAAATTGCTAAAAATACATTTTATGCTGTGGCTTCGCTTCCGAATTGTTGCAATTATTATAGCGCTGATTTTGGTTTAACAATTACTTAAAACGATTTGTTGTGAAGGGTCAGTATTTTACAGCGCGTGAGGCAGAGTTTTTCAATAAAAACATTTGCATTTATTTAAATATCTTTAAATAAAAAATAGAGTTCCTGTCAAGTTCATTGATATATTTGAGGGAATAAGCGATTTGTTAAGTGTATCTCACCTGGTGAATCGACGATCCAAGTTCGATGATAAGCAACATAAACACTAACGAATTAAAAAAACGGTTATACATAGTTTTTAATTTATGGTTATCACAAGGTACTTCAGCACAAATCACAAATTTCTAGTGGACAATGTGGAACACATCGTTCGACGACAAGCCGTGCAAAACCGCGCGAAATTTTTGTGCAATTAATAAATTAGTTCACATTTCTATGTTTAGTTTCCATAAATAAATACTATCAGTGATAATTGTGTTATGCGAATTGGGAAGATACGATACATTTATTTGAGTCTCATCGTTCGACGAGGTATTGCGCGCGTATCTGAAGCTTAAGTCTGTAGTGGTTTGTGATGTGCCTCGCTGGGTAGAGTTGAATATCAACTAGAGTCGACGTCGTGTAAAAGCCGGCTTCTGGGGTGTTGCAATAAAAAGTCAAAACGCCGAAACCTGATCCCAGCTTTGTACTGACACTACAACGGCGTAAAGCTGGCACACACAGCAGGGTGGGAGCGGCGGTAAATGCGTCTTCGGATGACGAGGGAGGGTGGTATACAGCACAGTGTTTTAGTTTATCTCAACGTTTATCAAGTTGTTAAAATATCTTTAACTACTTTTATGTCAGTTCGCTGTAAATAGAACATACATATAATGTAATCGCACAAGTATTAACTGTGTTTTATATGAAGTAAATAAAAAAATTAAGAAAAGTTTCTATTATCCGAAATTTTTTTTGTACATTTGTGGGTAATTTTTGAATTATCAATTCCAATAAAAACCATTACTTGTCAATTTGTCTTAAAGTTACTAGATTTTTCAGTAAAAAGAGAAATTGCTACTATAAAATTAAAAAATTAAAATAGACAACTTTCATGAAAATATGAAAATGCAATTTTTTTAGAACTGCATAAATTTTTAATCTATAACCGAGAATAACTAACAGTGGTAAACAAATTGATTTCTTTAATCCTACAGACGTTTAAAATTATGCAAATGTTTAAACTGTCACGTGTTCGAGAACGCATTGTGACGTTATTTAGTGTGACTGAGAACACAACCTGCTTCTCGCCCGTTTGCCGTCTAGCTTACAGTTCCCATGTCGATGAGACAAAACATAATCTAAAAAACGCCACAAGCAGAAAACCTTCTTTACTTACTATGCCCAAAGTTTACAGAATATTTATTCTGTAAACTTTGCTATGCCTATGCGGTCCGGCTGTCCAGGTCCATCGCACTAAATGACATCACGATTTAGCGCGGCAGCAAATACCCGTATAAAACATTTATTTTGTGAACCAAACCTGATTACTTAATTATTATTAATTAATAACTTCTCAGATATTTCTAATATTTTAACATAATTATATAAGATTACAGATTATCCTTAGACTTAAAAAAAAATATGTGCAAGTTACCCATTGCTTTGTATAAGTAATAAAATCAGTGATTGGAAGTATAGGAAGTCACCATTTTCTGAGATTTTAGTTGAAGCGAAATAAAAACAATATTTGTCTGTTTCTCCTGAAATTTACTTCACGAACAAAAAAGTTTCTACAAAATAATTTTTCAAATAAAGCGCAATTATTTTGTTTTTCAAGTTCTCTCCATCTCTCGATGTTTAACAGGCAACTTCATCTGGCATTGACTTAATTCCTGATTTAAGAACCTACCTATATCTTTTGGTGGCATTAATAGCATAAATGAAATATTAAACTGAATTGATAAAGTAAAGTCCCTCCTCAATTCAATAGACATTCACTAAATAAATTAGATTTAATGTATCTACTTTCTCGATATTCAAAACTTGTGTAAAAATAGTACAATCGATGCCAAAAGAAAAACAAATTTTTATTTCGATCTATATAGCACTTTAAATTGTTTATATGATTACTATGAAAACATGTTTGTAGCATTTTCATAATTAGTAAAAACACATTAAAAAAAATGTTTAATATACCCCCATATCTTGATGATTTGATATTTCCTCTGAATGTATCTCAGAAAAGTATTCTAAAAAAATTCGTCGGAGACATTTTAAAAATAGTTCATTGCATCCAATAAAATTTAAAAATTTACAGGTACCTACTTATTTGTAAATTAGAAAACTAATACCTATACCGAAACTTGAAATTCCAAAATTCCAATGTTAAAATTAATTGCTGTTTTATAAAAATATATTTTAATTGATCAATAGTCACTAAAGTTACAATAGTGGCCTACTTTTCATTGCATGATATAATGGTAGCTATTTTTCATTTTGAAATAAAGTGACAGCTGCACTGTTGATTTGGAAAGAGAATATACTTACATAGAATTATGTATTTATTTAATTCCGTTTGATTGAAAATAGTTATACAATTATACATTTTATTTAATTTAAATCAATCCAAATTAGTAATTAATAGTTAACAGTAATAAATTATTAAATAATGCCAGCACTTCGTTTGTCCGTCTTGATCCCTTTGCAGGGAAAATAATAAAGCAAATTTTATATAATTTTAGATAAATTTAGATAATTTTGGAAATAGGTATTTGTAATTTGTACAGTATCATGGATTTCAATCATAAAAATTCCATCAATTCTCAGGGGTTCCGCAAGAGCCAATCCATGGGCCACTGTTGTTTATTATCTTTATTAATAACCTAACTGAATGTCACGATGTCAATTATTGACTATATAAGAACGACTATAAGTTGTTCTTGCAAGTTAAATCTTCTACTGATTATACTAGATTACAAAACAATCTTGACAACTTATATAGTTGGTGCTCAAGTAATAATTTACCATTGAATGTAAGCAAATGTAAAAGTATGTCCTACAGTCGACGCAAAACTACTCTAGATTTCGATTATAAAATTGGTGGATCTTTTCTAAATAGAGTTACGCAATTTAGTGGTGTCATGTTTGATATCAGATTATCATTTGATAATTTAATAACAAAATCTGATTTTAAAAAATTAGGCTTTATTTTCGTAATTCTAAAGACTTTCACCATTCAGCATTTATACTTTGCAAATTAGAATTTCCATCGATTGTTTGGGGTCCCATTTATAATGTTTATAATATTCAATTAGATAAAGTACAACGGAGATATTTACAGACTTCATTTTATTGGATTTGGAATTTATCCTCCTCGTGGTACATCTCAAGAATTGTTGCTTTTCTTTTTTAATACTCTCTGTCGTAGACAAATTATGTTTTCAGTTATATTTATTATTAAAATTATAAATAATACCTACTTTAAATACAGATTCATTAGATATTATATCATAGATTTCTCTCTGTTTTACAATTACCCACACCTCGTATTAATTTACTAATGGTATCTCCTCTATATCAAATGATTTCTAATTATGAAAAATATGCAGATGGATTTTATATATTTTTTCATTCTATAAATAACATAAAAATGTGTTTGTTTAGCATATGTTTTCCTAAACTTTTATATGTTATTTAACTTATTTGTTTTATTTGCCTGTTATTGTTTATATTTCCGCCTCCCGATTTTATATTTTGATAGCTCTGTCTTGTAGTACTTATTACTTTATACTCAGTGCTAGTTGTCTTTTTTCTGATTTTATTAAGCTTTTATGCTTATCGTGTAATTGGGACTTTGTCCCGTTGGGTATTGTATTTTCTAAATAAATAAAATAAATAAATAAATAAATAAATGGATTAATTAATTAATTAATTAATTAATAACGTTCTTAATTTGATGATGCTCAATAAATACCTATAATAAGAGGTTTGTACAATGTATGGTCAGCTTTACGTTTACTAAGAAAATAAGATAAGATTCACGAAATGGTTGCTGATTTTAATTACGAGAACTCCACAGTATTTTTTTCCATGCGCCGTGCCATTCCTTTCATTTAACAACAATATGGAATGTACTTTCCCAAAAATGAAGTAAATTATTGTTGGACCTTGATACTGTTAAATTTTCCAATGACGTTAAATATTTCAATTATTATAAATAATGTATTTTTTATCCTTTTAATTAATTAAGCAATTGTAGACGAAGCGGAATATATTAAATACTCATCAAACTATTAGTAATTATTTTGATGGGAATTCATTCATTGAATTTACGGATATATGGATTGAAAACTAGTCGAATTATATTAGAAGGACGAGTAAGAGGTCACAAATACAGGGTGTTTCAGATTAAATCTGCCTCTCTGCTATGAACAGAAAAGCTTACTAAAAAACACATAGGATATTTGCAATTACATTTTCAAATTGTTGATTTAGCAAGGTTTCAGGAACGAAATATCATACCAAATTAGATCTAAAAGAGATATATAGACAAAGCTAAAAAGAAAGGAAAAATTCTCGTTAAAAAAGAAATCAAGTATGAGTTAACGATAACCAAATGCATGCATACATTCTACAATAAACTGTTTAATATAAATAATACATATATGAGCGAGATGATCATCTACAGTCATGAATTTATAAAGGCACAAATAAAAGGAATACTCAAGTGACACACAATATAATCTTAGAGAATTTATTCTAGGTGTGGTGGCACATTTACTACATTTTATATTTATACCAAAAGGCGATTAAACTCTTATGGTGCACGTTAATTTTGAAACGAGAGCATTTATTTCCCTCTTCGGTGTGTGTCATTCGAGAAAATTTGGTCGTGAGGTGACTTGATTATGAATTATTTATAAAATGTTAGTTAACTGCACCCCAGTAGTTATTCTAAACTGGAAGTTGCAGCCTTGTTTGGTCTTTGTGACTCATTAAATCTAGGTTTTATAAATTGCGTTGCATTCACGATGCAATATAATGTTAAGTAAAGTAGTATGACAGCAGTTTTATAGCGTCCCCTGTAAAAGATCTGTAAAATATTGGACTGTAGTTAAACATTTTCTTACTATAATAGTAATTTATATGTTGATAGTGAAAATTGAATTAATAATATAAATAGTAAATAGTAATTCGTATTTGTGCAATAAACAGTTAATCTTAACACATACCTAGATATGTAATAATGAAGATCACTTTTAAATAAAAAATGAACTTGGTTTAGCCCTAAAAAGAAATAAATATTATCATTATCATTATCTTTATGACACCGAAAAAGCTATTGATAATAACTTAACTGCGTTTTGATCAAATTAATCATCGTCTACTTGCAGTATTGCATTATATTGATTTTAATCAGTATCCTTAATTGAAAATCATCTTACGGATAGATCGCAATGTGTTATATATAGCTATGTATAATATTCATTATAATATTCTAATTATCATGTGATTGATTATGAAGTTCCACAGGGGTCCATTTTAGCCCATTTATTTATTTCAGTTTCTTTAGTTGTGAATGTGCAAAAGCTTCGCCGGAGAGCTTGGAACCTCTTCACCAGTCTTATAGCATAGGTATCGGTGAGAAGTCGTTGCGCGCGCATCTAGGCATGCGCAGTGCAATATAGAATAAGGTTGGAGGTCGTACTCGAGACCACGGCCTCTACTCTACTCGAAAAGACTAGAGGCATTATTAGCTAATATGTTAAACATCCAGTAAATCGACCAAAATGATGCCGATTTTGGCATTATTATAAAAATAGACAGCAAATACATTTTCTGAATATTTTCTTCAACCTGTCTATATCGCGAAGAGATTATATATTCATATAACACTTTTAATTTTTCTAGCAACAAATTCAAAGTTGCAGCTTCTGCAGCATTTCTGATTTTAGTAGGAGTATTTGCAATATCACTATCACTACTTTCTATCATTAAAAACATTATATGAGCAAATTCAATAAAAGTATTTTGTTGTCAGTGTCAAGAAAAAATCTTAATGATTCTAAGATACCCTGTATCTTCGCCACTGGAGGATGTAAATTTTAGGAAAAGCCCTCAGATTTTGGACAATGTTGGCATAAATACATGTGCCCAATTTCAAATTATTTGACGCACTAGTTTTTAAATTATTTAAAAAAATTAAAAATATTTTTTGAATTTTAATACCCTGTATCTTTTTAAGGAAGCGTCGTAGATAAAAACTGTATAGGAAAGACTCCCCTTAAAATTCACCAAAGAATACGAGGCTTCATTTTTGATCACCATTTGTGAATTACCCTGTATAATTGGAAAATAGAAAAAAATATCTATATTTCTCTCAATATCTGTTTTATAAAAATATAAGTGTATCTGATAACTTTATAATCAACTCCACTTAAAAAGTAATTTTACTAATCGATTCTATGTCAAAAATTCGAATTGGTCAGTTTTCTCTTTAATTCCAACTCATTTAACGATAGAGATACAGAGGTGGTTGAAAATGATGAATATCGGTCTGTTAAACAAATGAAAATCAAATTTCTGATTTGACAGTAGAACTTGCCTTGAAATGGGTACGAGAATGTGTCATCGGTTTTTCCATATCTCTAGAGTAGTTTCAGAGATAATCTGAATTCCCATAAAAAATGGCAAATCGGGGAGTCTGTGCATTTCCTATTATTTAAACAATCTTAACTATTCTATAACTGCCTTCTGGAAATCTTGTCGTCACTTTTAATTTAACTGTTGCAAAATAAAGTCATATTTAATTTAAAAAATCCGGATATTTGTCCATGAGGGATGACTCTTTTGTCTTTAAAATTTACAAATTAATAGTTTTATTCCTCACATCCAAATCTCACTTGTGGTTTTTAAAATAAAGAGATAATATGTAAAAATAATTTGGTTTTTATAGTTGCACTAAAATAAAATATTTATGGTTTGCTGTTTGAAAGAGATTGGTCATGGAAAGAGATTGCTCATGGAATTCAAAGAAAAATGTGATAAAAAATCATACACTCGTAAACTGTCACTTTCACTTAATTATTCTCACATAAAAGTGTCGAATAAATTTTTGGTTTAGAAATGGGATATTTGAAATGAACATTTTGGATACTGGAGGGAGAACCTTTATTAATACTCTATTGTTAACTACATCCATAAGCAATACAGTAATGCTTTTGTTATTGCCTGTGTTCGAAGTGTTCAAAATCTGTTTCATTTCAGTGTTAATCTAAAATTTAAAAATCTTTTTTTTTAAGAGAACTCTCTGCATTTCTTTGTTTGCGTTTGCACTAAGATATCTATAGTAGGATCGTATTCGATGCAAAGTAGAGCAAAAAGTTGTCGGTCTTTTATCAAAGGAAAATCGTGTCATCATTTTTAGGAGGCGTAAGATAAATAATTTCAAATTTAAAATGAAATTCAATGTAAAATCTGAAATACCGCTGCATACGCACTGTGTTCTGGTAGTAGCTGTAGTCGCCCAGGTGCATCGAGTGTACGAACTGGTCGGTTATACGTCAAATACTAACCTGGCGAGCTTTGCCGTCAATTAGAGAGCGCTTCCAAAAAACAAGTAAACAACAGTGGCGCGTACAGAGGTAAAATGTAGTACATATGTGGAATTTAGGAAACAAATTGGATTTATAATAAATTACATTTAAAATAAATAGTTTATGAGAATAAAGGAATTTTTGTAGCAACAAGGGTGCCAGACCTGAACTGATCCCCTCGTCCCTTCATAATGTATAAAGAAATGATTCAATTTGTAAAACCCTTAAAAGCGTATTTCATTGATTCCCTTGACAGGCAATGATTTATTACTTTGCATCGAATATGATCCTACTATAATATCCTATTTGTTAGTGATAAGTAAAAATTAAATTAAAAAATGTTTAAGATCCGCAACTTTTCAAGGAAACAAAATACCTTTAGTACTAAGATAACTTGATCTAAATTGGTTTATTTCCATCCTAGGAGAGAGAAGAGAGGGAGACTCAATTATTTCAGGGACTATTAAAAAAAAATAAATTATACGCTATATCATTAACGTATTTCGCTTCTGCAGAAACTTACCTATACCTTCAGTGTAATACATCGTTTTTAATTTGTTTAAAAAACAAAAGAGGATATAATAGTCCATAGAAAATAATCGTGTTATTCATTGATATTTTATCAATCCTTAAATTTCTTACAATTTTTTCTACAACACTCTCTGGCGTTCTCCTTGAATCATTTCCGAAATAAAGAGTGTTGAAATTTAAGAAAATATCACATTTTTTGAAATATTTTTTAATGCTGTCATGATATAAAGTGAGTGAAGAAATATTTAAAGCACACCAGCAGTTTTTACCACAGCAAAAAAAAATAGTCCATGTTATCGTCTTATGTGTAAACGGAGTTAATAAATAGGAACATAGAAACTAACGAATTATTATTTACTCCGACAGACAGCAACGATTTGGATGGTTTGGTAATAGTAAGGCTAGTCAAAACAATATGACCCTAGCTCGAATCATCAGAGAAAGCTGAGGTGGGCTCGTCTACAGCCCTGCAGGGTTCTGGATCTTCTTGCAACTGCGTTAAGACAAGACGTTATGACAAGAAACTGCTAGATAAAGAATAAGCCAAGAAGACTAAAATTACCATCGAAGGAGTTGACACGGACTTACCAAACTAAAATAATAAATCTAGTATCACTAACTAGAGCTAGAGTACCTACTACCTACTTGAACATTGAAGATTTAGAAAACATTTGAGTAAAACTGACTTCGTAGGAAACAGTCTCTTCTATTATCTATTGAAAACAGGGTATGTAGTTTTGATAGGAGGAATGAAATACCGTAGCTAATACATTTTGTTAAGTGTGAAAGGTGTGGTATTTATTAGGAAGAGAAAAATTGGTAGCTGAAAGATACGTGAAGAAGTAAAAGCCTAGAAAGTTGGATGAGGAACTCTAAGATCATGAGGATCCACAACAGACCTAGGTCTGGCCGCTATGAAAAAAAGTTTATAACCTATAATACATCATATTTCATTAAAAGTTTATTGGACTTGGAAGCACTTTAAACATAATATTGTGCGAAGTTACTTATTTGTGACAGAGTCTTCGTTTCTTTTTTTGGATTATTTTGCCACATGTAAAACAAATTTATAAGATTAATCCTTCCCAAAAAAAAAAAACAGTTTGAATACGTTTACTTTATTTATATTAGGTTTGTTTCTGCAGCAGTCTCAAACGGTTTTCAAACTATCAGATATACTCGGCCAATTCAGTCGTCACGTAGTAATATCAGCGAGTATAAAGTTACGAATCAATTGGTCAAAAATCTCTGATAGTTTCATCAGTGTTAGGCAACCACAAATTTACAGTTTCATTCTGGTTGCATACGTTATCGTTCAAAATATGGCATATCTATCTTTATTTCTTTATATTTGATTATGTACTCGTACTCGTACTTGTACTCGTATACAGATTATCGAACTGATAACATAGAACATAGATGTAATTAAAGATTCCATCCCTCTTTTCCATTTGAACTTGAAACATAATATTTAGGTCAAGATACTTATACTTCAAACAGTGGATTATAAATAAGTATTTATATCATCTAACAATAATTAATCAAAGGGGCTACGTAATTACACACATCTTAGCACCTCTATAAATATATTATGTAGGTATAGATATCACTAATATACATTGCATTAATAAATAAATAATTTACAGTACATCATAATAATATGTATATAACTGATATGTAAATATTTCTTTATTTTGTTACTCAAAGTTCATCATTCTTGTCACAGGAACCAGAGGAGAAGCCACAATCTCTTTCCAGATACTGCTTTTACTATCGATTTCGATTTTCCCCAACAGCACCTTCTTTCCCACGATATTCTTCGAAATCAGTCTGATTAGTATCTTAACTTCCTCAATGTTATAGTTATTTACGGTCGCTCTTAAATTAGCAGTGCTTGCTTCCAGTTTCAGACTTATGGTGGGGTCGAATTTGTCGCATTTCATTTTCTGGATCAAGTCTTCGTGCTCAAACGCGGTGATTTTGATGTAAAGTTGACCTAAAAGTAAAGAAACATGTTGAGAATAAAACAGTACAAATAGTCAGAGCGAATAAATGTTTTTCTTTATTAGTTGATAAGATGCAATAAAAAAATTATATTACTCTTTTTATAGATTGTATTTGTCTTTAATCCCTTGAAAATTTTGCTGACGGCCATGGAAAAATCAACAAAAGAATTAAACTAAATTTATTTAAATCCTGATGGTAGGATGTGCAGTACTTCACTGGTGGAGTGTTAGTCGGATACCTACTTTATCGATATTTGAATGAATTACACAATTAACTGGAAAAAACAAGCGCCTGATTGTCGTCGGTTTATTAAAGTTATACAGGGTGATTCAGAACTTATCAAAAAAAAAAAATCTGGATGTACAGGGGACCCTTACAAATACAATTTTGTAAAGAAAAAATCAAAAAGGGCAGTTCGAAAATGATTTAAAGATACACTTCTGCACGGCACTGGAAACTGGTCCTCTGTAAAACCTGACCTCGCACAATGCGACCGGCATGGCGGTGTGATAAAAACGGACAAAAACTTTCGCAAGGAAAGAAATATGTAAATAGAATTTTATCGCACCTATTGTATATCGGCAAATTAAACTGCTTCTGCCTTTATTAATTAAAAAATTTATTTGTGTTTTTAAATAATAAAATCATTTGACATACCCGATGTTACAACAATTGTTCAAAATTGTAAAACACATTTGGGTCCGTTGTACTCAGTTTCTACGAACTAACACAAATGTTGTCTTGTTTCACCATAAGACAAATGCTTCACCATAAATTAAAACGATATCCATCAACTCCGAGTACACGCAAACCATTTTTGACACTAACTACCCATTTTTGACACTAACTACTAAAAGCCTATTGTACACAACAGATAACAGGTAAATATCGCAACTACGATTGCAAAATCCGAATTCAGTATTTGGAGTCGCTGAGGTCGCGTGGCGAATGACGCTAGAGACTACAGTTGTCCAGCTACGTAGTGGTTGAATGTACTATAACTTCAATATTTTTTTTCTCAGAAACTATAAGGATTTTATAAAAAATTTTTTACGATATTGATTCCATTTCTCATGCTGCATCTATTCCCAAATTTTTTTGGATAAGTTGTGAATCACCCTGTATAAGTATCTAAATAAAAGCGTACCCTTTTATCACTTCTTGTATCTGTACAATGTTATCAGTTAAAAATTTCCTACGTCAATTCATAGAAATTTGTACAGTTTGTGAATACGTAAAACGTATATATACAGGGTGGCCCAATTAAAACAGTCCACCTGAAATATTTTCATTGCAACAGGTTTTTCCGGAAAACCCCGAAACAGGTCGATTTTCCTTTCAAGGGGGGCATCTTTTGATCATAAATTCATAAATGTATGGTCATCCCTCTAAACGGAGGAGCAACCCCTTCAAAAATCTTAAATGGCACGGGAGGTTAAGTGGCACATCATTTTGAAGGTATTTCAATTCTCTTTACAAACATGCTGAAATTTTTTTGTTCTGCCTGAAAATTAATCTAAAAAAACTGTTGGAAGTGTCGGTGAAATAAATCGAAAAAAAGACTTGAAATAGTAATAAAAAACTTACCGGATATTGAAACTGTGAAAAATGAGGTTTATCAACGAAATCTTAATAAGGTCATGGCTTTTAGTAGAATTTTACAATACATGTAGTTTTGTTTCGATTTTACATCAGTCAGAATTGTCTAGGTAGTGAAATCCATTGATTTGTTATTATTCGCTATTTTGAAGCAACCGATTCAAATTATTATGGTTTGCACCACTGCAGAGAGAATTGAAATTGTCACTCTCTATTCTCAAAATAATGAAATGGCCCGGATAACTGCAGATCCCAGAGAAAGATGTATTTTTTCAACAGGCTGACGCTTCGCCACACTATGCAGCTGCTGTACGTGACTTTTTGAATCAACATTTTCTAAAGGGGGTTTCATTGAATGGTCCCCAAGATCACCTGATTTAACACCATTGGATTTTTACTTATGGGCTCATTTAAGAAGTGTTATTTATGAAACGAAACCTACCTCTTTAGAAGACCTTCGTCACGAATAGTGGCAGCATGTGATGAAATAACCCCTGAAATGCTAATGCCTTAAACAATTCATTCAAATTAATTAAAATTAGTTTGAAAACTTTTTTTTCTATTTATTTCGCCGACACTTCTAACAGGTTCTTTACATTAATTTTAACACAGAACAAAAGAATTTCAGCATGTCTGTAAAGAGAATTGAAATATCTTTAAAATGATGTGCCACTTAAGACTCTTGAACCCTGCATTCAAGAATTTTTGATCAAAAGACCCTTTTTTTCCTTTTTCATGTACCTCTACGATATTATCTAGTTAGTAAATGTACAGGTAAGGGAAAGCAGGGCAAAGTAAAAGTTGTTTTATTGCTTGAGGCTGGCGTTTTATGATGACAAGAAATCGCAATTTTAGTAAAGAAAAGAGAGAACAAGTAGATCCAACCAGGAAATGACGAAGCGTAACGCTAAATTAAAGAAACTTCCTTTAATTTTTCGCATTATAAAATCACGGAGAACATGTAAACATCAGATAATGTAGGTACCTTTCCTGTTTTGCTTAGCAAATTTGTAGAGATACTCAATAACTATGATTAAAACACGTATTAATAGTTTCCTAAAAGCATTATACGGGGTGTGATTATGTTTATAGTACAGTATTCGATTTTTTGCATGCCCAACAGGCGCGCAAAACTCAGGAAACGTAAAATAAACATACGAGGTAAAAATATCCTTTTTTTCCCTTATTTTGAATGTATTGTCAGTTGTCTTATACCCTGAAGAAAACTTATAAAACTGATACAGTGAAGATATTGTTTCTAAAATACTAGACAAAAAAACCCTTAAAACATTTTTAAGAATATTCCTACTTATCTAAGGTACTTACATATGTTGCAAAAAAATTTCATAACTTTTTTTAATACAAAATGTATAAGTCCCTTTTGTTTTCCACTGTGCCCTTTATAACGGGACAAAATGGAAGTTGAAAACTATAAAGGTGATATACAGGGTGTTTATTAAGTATGTACCTACATAATCGTACAAACTTTAAAGAGTGAATTTTTGACTAATTTTGAGATAAAATTAAATATCATTATTAATTTTCCACTTTGCCCAAATCAAATTTTCTCTTTGCCATATCTTAAAATATAAATCCAATATTGAAATTCTTTACTATAGATTAGAAACTTAGCTCCTCCAGTTTGCCTATCCTTTCCATTTTTCCTTGCCTTGATTGTCTTACCAGAGCAGTGTTTTATCTATTATTGAAAGTATATTTAAGGTCATAAAAATTTATAGATCATAAAAGATCATGAAATACTTTTATAGCATTTTCAATTAACTTTGTATTACTATGTTCAAATTGTTAAATTGTTGATTAAATTTGATTTAGTTTTCTCATATAAGACTATTTTATTAAATAAGATTATTTTTATTAGGTATTAAATTGTTTCATATAGGTATTTCACAAGAAAGAGTTCGTTGTATTTCGCGTTACTATTAATCACATATTTTAGTCATTTATATTTCAGAACATATTAAAGAAAATAACACAATTCGTCAAATGTGTTTCGGAAAAAATTAAAAATGTCTGAAATATCTTTGATGCTTTGTGAAATACAAATGATGTTTTCTGAAAATCAACTAGCGTTTTCACTGAAGTCGTCTTATTGTGACGAATTCTGAAGTATAATTTACATTTTCTGAAATATAATTGATTAATCTCAAAATATATGCAATAAGTACGTATAAGTACTTATTTATGCAACAAAAATGAGAAAAAATAGCTGTTTTGCATTGACAATTTATTCATGAATTAATTCACGAATTTATTTGTAAACGATTTGGTTTGACACTGCTACAGACTTCGTCAATTTCTTTGACACATGAATCAGCTCTACCAACAAATCGAATGAAGCAAATAAATTTCAAAAATATCACTTTTCCACGCATAATTGTCGTAGTACAACAGCGGTACAGTTTTGACACATATTATATAAATATTAGTTTTTGCAAGTAACAAATCAGTAAAAGCAATACAAAACTAGTACGACGCCACACAATTATTTACATACTCCAATAACATAACCTCATTGCTGATCTGAGGCTGGAAATCTGTTGGGTTGGTACTTCCGAACTTCACGAAGAAAATGACGAAAATTAGATAGAACTTGTTCTAATTCGTCAAGAACTTGATAAATATATTCATGAAGTTATTTGACAGCTGATTTGGTGCATTACACTTGTCCAATTTCTTGATGAAACGACTTCATGAATTAATTCATCAATAAATTGTCAATGTAAAACAGCTTTTAATCATCTAAATTTTTCTTTGTCAATTAACCCACCTCCAATTTTTTCATGTTCCTGCATAGTTTGCAGACTGCATCTGAATTTCGTAACGCTTACTTCTACTACATCATTCGTACCATCCTCACTGACTGCATACTGTAATGTTAATTCGACGCAGCCTTTTTTTCCTTCTCTCTGAAAAACAAAATAAGTTAAATATTTAGTCACCTTTATATAATACCTATACGAAATACTTTTTAAATAATTCTTTCATTTTATTTAAATCTGATGAACTCCTAGTGTGAAATGCTTTCGTATATCAACTGGTTCCGTAGTGTAGCGGTTATCACGTCTGCTTTACACGCAGAAGGTCCCCGGTTCGATCCCGGGCGGAACCACTTTTTTTTTATAATTTTCTTTTGCCATAAAAAGTTTTATGTAATAAATACAATATTCTTAATTTGTTCCTAATTTTAGAATATTATAAATAAATCATTCAAATGGAAATATCCTTTTAAAAAGGAGTATTTATTGACAACGAAAAAACGTCTTTTAATCTACTCCATCTCTCATAAAAAGAAGAAAAAACGAATTAATAAGACAATAAACTCCACTTTTTTTACAAAAGTATTAATTAACTTAAGTTGCAAAAAATATATATGCGGGAAAACTCGATTTGGATACATGCATAGAAACAATTGAAGGATGTTAGGTCTGGTAACCGGGTCAGCTATTTTATTATTGTGTCTTTCCCAATCCAAGATAGGGAAAGACATTAAACATTATTCCGCCATATTTGTTCACAGAAAAAGTCTTCTGAAGAAAAACTGGATGCCTTGATATGTAAATAATTACATATTTGTTTAACTAGGCTGTAAAGTACAAGATTTAATGCGGGCTGATATTTAACAGACGAATCTATTAAAGCAACCAAGGCATTAAATCTACTGCCAAGTTAAACACATAATTTTTTCGCCAATCAATTTTAATTTTATTACAATAGTAAACAAAGCTATTTATTTTATAAATATTATTAAAATTGTATGATACTTCTTTCACAAATAACAATAATATCATCAGGTCGTCTGTAGCTGCTATGAGACGAGCGTTAAGTAAATAACTTAGGTACACAGTAATCACCTTATTGTTCCTATTTAAATCCATAAAAATAATTAAATTTTATTTGAGATGGAAGAATTCACATTAACTCCGCCAGAATCAGCAAAGCAAATAGAGTGTAATTTATTACCAGAAATGTCGAAGAAGATATGTCAGCAAACATATAAAAAATTTATTGATTACTCGGCTGAGAATAATAATCAGAAAATGTACTATTGGTAGGTGTATTTTTATGAATTAAACAAAAGTATGAAATCTTCTTCTTTATGGTCAATATATGCGATAGTCAGAGATACTTTGAACGTCTACAACGACATCGATATTTGAAAGTATCTAAAATTAAAAGCATTCTTGAAACGGCAATCGGATGGATATCGTTCTAAAAAATTACGCATATTAGAAAATCAACATATTAAAAAATTTCTAATAGGGGCCCCTGATGATACGTACCTAAGGCACAAAGAAATATTTTTGTAAACGAAGAATACTGACTATTATTACTTTAAATGGAAATGATTTTTGCCATATCTAGGGCGTGTTGATGTGATGAATTACTTCAAACAAAGATTGGAGATATTAAAGATATTGGAAATAGATTGCTGATGATTCTACCAACTACAAAAGTAAAGAAAAAAAGATCCTTTATTGTAAGCGAATATTTAGACATATTGGAAATATACTACCGCAAGACCTACACAAATAGATAGTAACAGGTTTTTTTAAAATAATCAAATGGTAAAGCATATAAGCAATTAATAGGAATTTATACATTTAGGAAAATGCCAAAACAATTTGCTGCGTTTTTCAAATTGAACTCGTAAATCAGAAAAAAATTGCCTACTGCAAATACATCAAGTGCTGGAAGTTATTTTTTAAATAATTCAACCATTTCGAAGGAAACAAATGTTCGTAAACCATATACTAGTGAAAACACTTCAACCTAGATAGACGTAAATGTTCAATGGTCAAAACAAACAAGATAAGGGATATCCCCTACAGGCTGTTCTAATTTCACTATAAATGTTCACAATAAATAAAATTACTTTCGTTAAAGAACAAATTTTAATTTAAACACAATTTTCTTCATAAATAACAACTTACCGGCTGAGTTTGAATCCCACTAGTAATCTCCTTGACATTTCTCCAAATATCGGGAGTACTTATAAAATTATTCCTCAACTTTTGAGTAAAAATTTTTCCATCTAAGCTATACGTCACAGCGCCCACTGTCCTCCTGTTACACAAACTGTTTCTGAAACTACTTCTTTTCATCGAGGGGGTTCTTCGAATACTATCCCTTCTAATAAAATCATCGGTATCGGTAAAACTCAAAAATCTCTTCAGTATACCCGATGGTTTGTCTGTCGTATTGTTCTCTTCCTCGCCTAGAACTGCATATATCGTAAAAGAAACAAATTTTCCTTTGAAGTAATCCTCAGGCCTCCTTGATTGGAGTGTTAGATTGAAAGTGAACTCCTCGTTTATAGTAGGCCATGATTCCTTGGCCGTTCTTGTTTCGAATTTTTCTTTTTGTGGAAATACAGTTACCTAAAACAAAAAGTGCATTGCTTTAATTATTTCATCTTCAAGTACGCGTAGGTTGGAACAAAGTCATTTAAAATTCAGGGTTTTTTTTTGGAAAAAATAGAAATACCTATTTTTTATTTCATTTTTCTGCACCGAATTTTAAGTATGTTTCATATACCATGCCCTATATCTGAACTCAACAGTTATGGAAAAATTTACGATTTATTTATTTATTTTTAAAATAAACAGAACAACAAATCAAATTAAATGTTCAAATTGTTTACCACAAAGGAAAAGAAAAAACAGCAAAAATAATGACAAAATTGTCAGTATGTAATATTAACAATATTTTTGAATTAATATTTGAAGATAATCACAAGTATCCAGTTCAATTGTTGAACAGTGTACAATAATTGACTTGATTTCTGTGTTTTATTTTGTAAATCGAGCAAAAAATTGTGTTTATTTGGTTTTTTTTTTTCAATTCTGGTATTTTGATTGTTGTAAGCATTTAACTGAGAAGCAACGAATAGAAATTCTGATGGTAGGATATGGCGACAGGACTCGAACACAAACTGAAGTTTGCGAAATGTTTAATGATAAGTACCCGGAGAGGCCTATTACACGATCGGTAGTTAGTAAATCAGAAAAAAAAGTTTAGAGACTTTGGCCACGAAAGAGACAATTACCATACCAACCGTCTTACATTTACACACTTGAAAGTTTTGCTCTATTTACAAGAAAATCCTCACAAATCAACCCAAATAGCTGCAGTACAGTCAATAAGTAAATCTTCTGTTCCAAAATATTTACAGAGGAACAAATGGCACCCGTGCAAAGTAGGAACTTATTGAAGACGATCGCGACTGCAGATTAGAAGTTTTTAACGACGAGGTAACATTTTGATTGAATGGTTCGGAAAACAGGCAAAATGTTCGATATTGGGCACCAGCAAACCCACACTGGAGTATTGAAAGTCTTACACCATAATTCCTCCAAAAAGTAAACTTATGGGTGGGTACCTCAATTGTGGGTCCCTTTTTTTATCCCTTTACTGGAATGGTTAGAATCCAAATATAACGGAATATTCGATATGGTATCCAACAGGATGGAGCGCCCCCACACTATTCGCGAACAGTACGAGATTACCTTCACAATACTTTCGAAATGGATGTTATCGAATGGCCAGCTAGGTCTTCAGATCTAACCCCATTACATTTTTATCCATGGGATTATCTGAAATCTATTTCAATAAATGGGAAAATATTGAATAACTGAAGAATAGAATTAGAGCAGAAATACAACAAATCCAGACCTAAACGTTACGAAAATTTGAAGTTCGACTTGCCTATTGTCAGGAAGTGAATGGTCAACAATTTGAACATTTAATTTGATTTGATATGTTGTTCTGTTTCATTAATAAATAAATAAATCATACATTTCTAAATAATTGTTGAGTATAGATATAGGACATGGTACGTGAAACGTAGGTACTTAGAATTCGATGCAGAACTAAAAAATACATATTTCCATTTTTTCCCAAAAAACAAAGACCTAAATTTTAAATGAATTTGTTACAACCCACGCGCACTCACTGTATACAGGGTGTGCTATTTAACACTCCCGGTGCCAATATCTCCGAAATGAAGAAATTTATTTTAGTTTCGCAAATTGGGGTTGTTAGATCCCTCGAATAGCTTCAAACTGCAGTTAGAATTGTTACTTCAAATCTTTCTGTATAGATGGCGTGGCGATACTAAAAATTTTTTGTTCCCTGGGACGTGAAAATGCAGTCCATCTGAAAGATCGTTAAATTTTGAGTAATTTTTATATTTACTTGTTTTCGAGATACGTCGACTTCAATGTGCAATGTATGATATAACAGGAAAATATATTATTTTATCTAAATTACACCGAGACAAAATATTCTTTTAAAATATTGTTATAATGACTATATTCACACCACATACTAACTAATAAATAATAAATTATAAAAAACAAATGATCAACTACAGAAAACAATTGTACAATGGTAAATCGTATAACTAGTAAATTTTATAAGGGTCAGAGACGAACAGTATTTTATCAAATGTTATTAAAAAATGCAGTCATAGGGGGCTCATGTCATTTATTAAAACAAAACAATGACAGATGACACATATTAGTTTTCCAATAATTACAGTTTTATCAGTTTGCGTCTTTCAATTTAACTATACTAGTTATACGATTTACCATTGTACAATTTTTTTTCTGTAGTTGATAATTTGTTTTTTTTATAATTTATTGTTTGTTAGTTAGTATGTGGTGTGAATAAAGTCATTATAACAATATTTTAAAAGAATATTTTGTCTCGGTGTGATTTAGATAAAATAATATATTTTCCTGTTACATTGCATATTGAAGTCGACATATCTCGAAAACAAGTAAATATAAGGAAAAACTTTATATTACGAAAATTACTCAAAATTTAACGATCTTTCAGATGGACTGCATTTCCAGGTTTTTTAAAAAAAATTTTTGTATCGCGATGCCATCTGTACAGAAAGATTTGAAGTAACAATTCTAACTACAATTTGAAGCTATTCGAGGGACCTAACAACCCTAATTTCCGGAACTAAAATAAATTTCTTCATTTCGGAGATTTTGGCAGCGGGAGTGTTAAATGGCACACCCTGTATATATTTGTGGGAAAATAAAACTTCCGGGACTGTAGTCCATATCAAGAATTAAAGCTGATTGTCGTAACTTATTTTTGGGTCACCCTGTATACATGAATTTACCATCAGAAGAACCGCAGCCAAAAATAAGAATCGACGTGTCCGAGAGTTTTTCCAAAAAACAAACCCTTGAATTTTAAATGAACCCACGCGTCCTTATCGTATAATCCTTCCTTATCCAGATAAATGCTATAACTTTTATTTGAACTATTTTTTATATAACAAATCATTTCTAAGAGAATAATCTGTTTTCATTAAAATGATACACCGAGTACTAATCTAACTTTTTTGTATGTAGACCCTTAATTGATTGAATCAAAAAGAAATTTTATTTTGCTTTTTCTAACAATTTTACATTGAAAAGACATTATATAACATTATTTAAATCAGTTTTACTCCCAAACGGTGCAACCTATTGAATTAATGCGAAAGCAACTTTTTACTGTAATACTACCTAAAATGTCTAAGTTTTGGAAGAAACAATGGAAAAATTCAGCTACAAAAAATATACAGTAAAATATAAACACAAATCGCCTAGTTTTGACATACTTACAACAACAAAAAAAAAACAGTTTTGACACTACAATTCAAAAGTTTCTATATTTCTGGAAAAAACATTTTACAAGAGCTCACCTTGAAGGGGCTCTAACATCCTTAGGGGGCATTTACCCCCGTGGTCATATAAACTTTTCCTGTTGCTTTGTCGAAAAATTAGCTGGTAAATATTTCGGGACATCTTGTAAATTCAAATCGTTTATACAGTTTTAATTATTTTTAAGGAAAAATTGTAATAAAACTTTTACGTTTAATACAGCTATGTCCTTGTCATATGTATGAAGGAAATTAAGGTCAAAATCATTTTAAGTGCAATAAACACTGGACACATGTCACCAAATTTAAATTTAATCTTCGCACAGTCTGGCAGGAAAGGTTTATAATGTGGCGTTGCATAAAATAAACCAAATTAAGTAAAAAGGTTATGTCCGCTACTATGGTAAATGCTTCAATTTTCAAATTGAAATTTTAACAAATACGTAACTACTCCATTTCTATGTAAATAAATCAGTATGTTCCCAAAATCGTTAAGATTAATATAATTTCTTATTTAAGGTTGTTCAAATTAAAATGTCTCAATAAATTGTATATCATGAATTCTATATGTAATACGTCTGAGATTCATCTATAAAATTCTAATTATAGAAATACCAAATCATAAAACTTTGCACTTATTTGTGCTGACATCAATGTCATCTATAAAAGTCTTAAATTTAGGTTAATACTGTTTTTAGTGGGTGTATTCTATATTACTTTATGTTTTAAAAAATTATTTCTGCAATTAACCTACATATCGATCACAAATAGTACCATATTCGTTTAAGTAGACACTTTTATGATGGACAACTAAAGGTTAAAGAACCAATAAAAATAATTTTAGGAAGCTTGTGTTATTTATAGAACATTCAGTTTTAAGAAAAAGTCTCATTCCATAAAATTAAATAATAATATTTGCATACAAAAATGCGTTGTGAAACTGATTCGTCATTTTTCTTTAATTTGTTAGATATAGTGGAATAATATCATATTTTTTTCATTATTAAATTTGTACAGTTTTTTGTGTAAAACCCTATATTTGACCATGAAACTACAGAAATTCGACCTACCGCTTTAGAACAAAGAAGTAAATGTGTTTAGAGTATGACAATTTTACAATATTTGTTTAGTAGATGTTAGTGGAGAAATATTAGGATTTTTTTATGAATAATAAGCCAAACGTTAAAACAGTGACATGACGTAAACTTTATGCTACAACAGGAGTTACGAATAATCAGAATGATAAGTCTTATCTGATCTATCATCGGTGCAATATTTGTTGCTCGTGTATCAAGAAGCCTTATCAATAATAAAAATTTGAAGCATATTTACGTGTAGGCTTTTTATATGTGGAAATTAGTAATTTTTTCATCAAATGGTTCATTATAATATTACGAGATTATCCTTAATAGCAACGTAGTTACTAAGAGCTGAAGTTAAATTAGGTAGTCTTGGTTGATGTGCACCAAGTATGTCTGCTTTGGGCCAGATTTTGAAGGTGCAAGTGAACTAACAATGAACAGTTTCTTATTTTTGACAATTTGATATATTATTTGTAGTGCAGTATTTTCGTAGAATATTACCGACACAGGGCAGGTGCATATAGGGGTATCCAAAATATTGTAATTTAACCAAACTTACTTATACACATTTATTTTCTACGCATGAAATGAATTTTACACACAATTTTAATTCGTTAGCATTAATCAGGAAATTGAAAAAAAAAGTTAATACTTAATTTTCCGTTATTCAAACTTTAACGGATTTTGTAATTTCTTTTGTCGTAGTTCAATAATAGAGAAAATACTTAATTTAAGTTTAGGAGTAATGAATACTCCATTAGTGCTAATAACAGATGAGATAAAAAAATTGATATGACAACACTTGTAAAGATGATACCACATTTGAGTATTACTATAATGACATAGTCACCTATTTAAAATTGTGACTAAAAACTTGAAAGTCTTGTAGAAAAAGTTAAGATCACTCAACTTTGTGAATAGTTAATAATAAATATTTCATATTTTGTTAATTATTAACACTATGTGACTTGTGATGTGATGTTGAGTATGATTTTTTAGCGGTCTGCCTTTTTTTACATAAGCATGAAAAAATATTTAGTCTTTGTTTTTTTTATCTAAAACTGTGTTATTATGTTATAAGTTTATCCAACTGGAGATACATAATTCAGCTGCGTGTATAGCTTAGTTCAAAATTAAAGTTTACTTCTTATTCTTCTAAATTCACTAATTGTGAATTTTCGAATATTATTCCAGAAAACACACTGAACTATCATACTTCATTTTGTCCCAAAACTGTTCAATCAACAAGTTTTAAAACTAAATATATTTCCAAGGATAACTATTTGGAATTTGATCTTTCTAATGTGTTTTGAAAATCCCTACTACGTGTAAAAATAAATACAAAGGCACTTTAGATACTTTACACTTTACTTTAATCAGTTGTACTTATTATAAATGTTAGTTGGAAAGAATTCATTTGCTAGTCCCACAAACGTAGAGTACCTATGTGGTCATTTTTTATTTTATTACATAGCGTTATTACACAGCATTTATTTTAGAAATGTGCATTTTCGCAGGAATGACTAAAATTACTGACAAATACTTGCAAGTTAATATTTGTTTGATATCTAATTTCCCTTGGTGCTTTTGTTATTTGAGTTTAGATATAAATATAATCTATCAAAAGAAAATTGTATCTATAGATTACAATATTTACTAAAAGTATTGTTCAACCAAATATTTCTAGTATTAAAAAAATCATACCTTTACTAAATACCCAGTGGGTTTGACACTACCGTAACTCGTAGGCAATTGCCTGGCACCAATAACTTTGACTTTCAGTTCTTTCGTGATTTCGCAAAACGACACTTTAAAGCCAATTTGGGGGTCAACGGCATTGTTGAAACTACCATCACTTCTCCTTATGGTAAAATAGTTCTTCACTTTGTTTAATTTCTGTTCCATTTTAATGCGATGCAAAGAGCACTAATCTAATTCAACACATGACAAAAGTCGAACAAGTGAGCAATCATAAACAATTTAAGTGAATAAAGCTGAATTAAAAAGGCCACAATATTATCCGCTCATTTGTTACAGATCTTCGGTTTAAACTGTAGTTAATTATGTGATTGTAATGTGGTTTATCTTATCTGGGGAACTGTGTACGGCAAATACTTACTTGAAATAGACACTTAAATTTTTTATTGGTCTATAATCGTAAATTGTATCGTCATGCGAGGATGTACCAAGCGGGCTCAATATTTCACAAGAAATCTATAAATGTAGGGGGCGTACAGCACACGGAAAATCCAAACACCAACTAAATATGTAGCCCTGAATTTCCATAAATCGTTTAATAATTTGTACACTGTTTCGAAGATGTATTATTTTTAAGATACAGGATAATCAGAATATTATCACATGCGATTTGAAAACCACATCTCTTGGCATTTAATACCTCTAATAATAAATTCGAAAGTATTTCTAATACACTAAACTTTTCAACTGAATTCGCTCCAAAGAATTCTATCGGCAAGGATAAATGTAAATTTGTTCTTTATTACAGACCTATCAATTTAGTGAATTACGGACAATTCGTGTAATACAAGCAGTAGTAGGTATATACCGCTGTACTTCCAGTACGAGTCAATAAATAAGCAATTTTAAGTACTTTTAAACTTTTAAAACTCTGGATCGAAGTATTTGGTCCAAGAGTTATTCTAATTTTATGAATTACCTAACTTTATTAAATATTACCTTTGTCAATATACTTATATCAATTAAAGACTACCTTTATCAATATATTCATCAAAAATATAAATAATTTTGCTATAGCAGCAGGACGTCAAGCGAGAAAAGAAAGCCCTGGAAACCACGTGTCGATGTTTCCTCCCAGATGTGTCGAAAGAAGTAAAAACTGAGGCAGCATATGTACCTATTACAAACTCCCAAATCTCCGAAACTGAATCTACTTACAAATGAAATTCAAATCAAATTAAAGCAATCGCCATACATACCTCCTGTTGACATAGAAACAGAATGATTACCTTGTACAAAAAGGGGTATATGTTCAACCTACTAAAAGGATGATAAACAATAAGATCATGAAGGTTGAGAAGAAAGTGGCAATTGCATTCGAGCCTCTAACATTTCCAAGGATCTCTATAGAGATATAATTTTGAGTGATCCAAGAACTCACCAAACTTACAAAGGTTCATAAGTTGACAAAGCCATATTACGTACGATCTGTTTCTAGAGAAAATGGCTATATAAACAGAACAGGGAACCGAACAGAACAGAACCGAACAGAACCGAACAGAACAGAACAGAACAGAACAGAACTGAAACAGAACAGAACATAAAAGAACAGAAGAATATATCAGAACAAGGAAAAGGAGGAATATCTGGCAACAATCTATCCACTGATAGATCGTCTCTTAAAAAAACGTAATATTAATACATCAAGAAAAAAGGGGCTACCTTTTCCAAGAAGAACTGACTAAAGAATAACAACATAAATAAATCAGTAATTGCTAGGCTTCGATAGCTATAAATAATATCATAATTCTAGCAAGTTGAAATTTTGGTCCAGGCTATATAAAGAGACAAAAAGAATTTCAGAAAAATTAAGATGATTTCAACTGAGAGCCTAGAAATTTGGAAATGATTCATATGCAAAAATAAGTCTCAGTCGCTGCGAAGCTTTTGCAAAGTTACCGCTGATGATATCGACAGTGAACAACAACGAAACTTTGGATGTATTAGGTACGATCAGTTACAAAGACGGTTACGGAAAGTCTGAGACGACCTTCACTGCTTGAGGAACAACTCCATCTGTAGTGGCCTTGGAACCAACAACAAGAACCGAAGCACACAAGACCTTCAGAACAACAAGGACAGGAGAAAGATTAAGGCTAAGGAACTGAATTTTAAGTCTGTAGATCACTGCGATCAGGTACATAAGCTACGGAATTACAATCCCAAAACTACTAAGTACTTCTTGCCATACGAGTTGGTAACATAAGGCTGTTTTAGACCAGAGATACCAACATGCTAGTATGGTGTAACATACCACCATTCAGGTGAGAAAATTAGTGACGTAAGTATAACTTATCGGAATAAAAGTTTCATACCAAGATTAAGTAACAAGGTAACTGATTTTACTATGTGTCTGTCTCTGTCATCTCAGTTTAAGATCTCTGTTTAACAAAGATAAAAACAAACCTAACCTCAAATTAATTAGAGACGCCTAAAATTTGCCTTTCCATTTGCAGAAACACCGTCACAACTGCTTTAGCTAATGAATTGATGAACTTAAATTTAAAATGTCATTTGTGGTACCATAAATATTCGAATTCTACAGGTTACATATTGGTGACGTCAAACATACCTACCTATATTACAAAAGCTATTAGACCAGGCAAGTTAGACAATAAATTAGAAATTTTTTTCTGATGAACCGATAGAGATGCGGTTTTCGGCATTGTCTTCGGAAAAATATCAGGAAAAAAGTCTATGTATTACACTTTGGGGCTGGATCGAAACTGCGTTGCGAGTGCATAAAGTGCATCTTGGAGTGCATCACTTTTTTTCGAATTTTCTAAAAATGGTAAAAATTGAATAGAAGTTGTAGAAATTTGGTTTTCGGGGTCGGAGATTCCGAATCTGAACCTGAAAAATATGCCCGGCGGCCCTGGGGCCCCCAGGGGGGCAAGGGGGGAGCCTTCTGTAAAACATCGAATAGCTGAGTAATTGCCTTCTAAATTTCCACTTGGGGGTTTTTGGGGTCGGGGATTTCATTCTGACACTGAAAAATATGCCCGACGCCCCTGGAGCCCCCAGGGGGGCAACGGGACTTCTGTAAAACATCGAATAGCTGAGTAATTACCTTCTAAATTTCCACTCGGGGTTTTTGGGGTCGGGGATTCCGATTCTGACACTGAAAAGTATGCCCGACGCCCCTGGGGTCCCCAAGGGGGCAAGGGGGGGCTTCTGTAAAGCATCGAATAACTGAGTAATTGCCTTCTAAATTTCTATTCGGGGGTTTTCGGGGTTGGGGATTCCGAATCTGACACTGGAAAATATCGATTAATCTTAGCTTGTCTATAACTGAGATGTTTTACAGAAGGCCCCCCTTGCCCCCATGGTGGGCCCCAGGGACGTCGGACATACGTTTCAGTGTCAGAATCGAAATCGCCGACCCCAAAAACCTCCGAGTGGGGATTTAGAAGGCAATTACTCAGCTATTCGATGTTTTACAGAAGGCTCCCCGCTTGCCCCCCGGGGGGGGGGGGCCAGGGCCGTTGGGCATATTTTTCAGGGTCAGATTCGGAATCTCCGACCCCGAAAGCCCGTGCACAGAAATTTCTACAACTTTGAGTCAATTTTTATCATTTTTAGAAAATTCGGAAAAATTGATGCACTCCAAGATGCACTTTATGCACCCGCAATGCAGTTTCGATCCAGCCCCAAAGTGTAATATATAGACTTTTTTCCTGATATTTTTCCGAATAAAATACCGAAAACCGCAACTCGATTGGTTCATCAGAAAAAAAATTCCGTATTCTGGGTGATTTTGGTTTAACTTGCTTGTACTGTATGGTAAGTCTCTGAAACTCCTTGTGTTGTTAAAGTAATGACTGCAGTTCTAGGTTAATCTTTTTATTCATTGTTATTTACTGAGATATAATATGATCATTGATCTTACAGAATGAACAATGAACAGGAAATTTAAAATTTATTTATACTACCTACCGTCGTTCTACTTATTTTTATGCTGTCTTTTCGCCGCAATAATATTAGATTTCGACTTAGAAATGTTGTGAATTTTAAGTACCTATTAGATTAATATTTATCTAAAAAATTATTGATTTGTAAAATTTTACTATCTATGATTCATGTTCTATCTATGTTAAAACTATCTATCTATGTTAAAACAAAGTCAGTATCCTTTCTTTTTAACGAGTCGCTTTCCTCTGGTCTTTCGAAATAAAGGAATCATGAAGCTGTTTTCGAATGAAGGGAATTTCACTTCCGTTCACCAAAAGTTGGAAATGTCCGTACTACAAACCGTGTGAGCTAGTTTTCTTACAACTTCTGTTTTAAGTAGGGAGCAGTATAATAGGAAAAACCTATTAGTGAATTTCAAAAATGCATAATTAGTACATTTTAAACTAAATTACTTTGGAGCTATTTTTGGCAAGCAAGGAACCCATTCCGAACCGTCAAGAAACATGCAACCAGTTGAGCTGTTAACGTATGTTTGGTGAATGCTTTGTAAGACAGAGTTGGTCAAACATTTGTGACGGTTCCAAACCAGTTCCCAATTATGTACCTTATAGGTACATTACTTGCTGATCTCAAAATTAAAATTTTATGGGTTTGACGACATTTCGTTATAGTTTTTCAAATTATACCAGATTGTAGTCACATATAATGAAACTGCAGCGTTGTCTTTCATAAGTTCCGGGATGCCCCAAGGATCGATTTTAGGTCCTATTCTTTTCTTGATTTATACTTGATATATTCACTTGTCCAAAGGCGCATAATATAGTGTCTTTTGCTGACGATACAAATTTACAATTCCAATACTTACATAACTTCTCAGTTACAATGAAGATGCTTCTATTAAAATAAGCAAAGATTTAGAATCTATAGCTAACTATACTAATTCTAACAATCTGAGACTTAACCCAAACAAATGTGCGGTTATGTTATTCTATTTTAAAACCGCGTATAGGTTTTTGCATATTGAGAATAGATCATTTGATATGTTGTCCCATATCAAACACTTGGCCTTTATATTTGAAGCAGATTTGAGGTTTGAAAAACACGTTGATACAGAAATGTTATTTTATTTAAAATTTGCCCAAAATCGATTACAAAAAGTTGTTTTGTTTACGGTATGAAAAAATATGATCATATTACTCAAAGATACGAGTATAATGAACTCGGTTGGCTTAAGATTAGCATTTTGTATAGATATCATTTGGCTACTTTTGTGAAAAATATACCTAACAACAATTTGCCGCCATATTTAAGGAATAAACTTTCTTATCGTGGTGACAGACATAATCTTAATCTAAGACATGCCCATTTTCCACACAATGATTAGTTTTCCTTCATTACCTTGTGTTATGT